ATATGAGTCGAACTGGACGGCGAGTAGTCTGGGATTGGGTATGGTCTTCAGGTGCGCTGGCCTTGGCAGTCTACTGACGCTGTTGGCCGGTATACTGTTGAGACCAACTTTGGTTGAGAGCCATTGCCATTGTTGGACGTCGTGAAAGTACCGATCTTTGACCGAGCGGTCACTTGGCAATTCTGGAATCCCATGTACAACTATAGTGTTGTTTCTGTTGGGATTTCCAACCGCTGACTTTCTCTCCTCCTCTCTTATTGACCATGGCTTGTCAGGCCTGGCCCGAATTTTACAGGCATTAACAACGTCCGGTTGTCGCGAGAGGAGGAGTGTGTCTTCAGCCTCTTTGGTAGTATTTAGGGACACACGTAAAGGGGGTGGCTTATCTCGGGGTGCACGGCTTCCTCGAGAAAGGCGACATAAAGTTGCAGGGAGGGGAGGGAGTCCCAGCATCTGACAGTAGTCGGTCCACATTCGGCTGTCAAACCGTTCCCTCTCGACCAACAATGAGTCTGTCGATACATCGACGTTGAACAAAATGATCGAGTTGGTCCTCCTGTGACCTGGGTTCGTTGTGGGTGGCACGCTTGACTTCCCAATGGGTTTGAGTAATTCCACTGGTTGTTTCTCAGTCACGGTGTGTGGGGTGTTTGGAATGGGTTTCGTAGAGGCTTTAGCGGTCGATGTCTTTGGCCATGGCTTGACGTCCCCTGGGGCCGGGTAGGAGGTATGGAGACTTGACCTAATATGGTCCCCACGCGAGGTGGCGTGCCCACAGCTGGAGCTCTAGGTCTGTTTCCAGGTCTCTCTGTGTTATCTTTGGTGTTAACCCTACTTTATTCGAGGGTGCTGGTAGCTTTTGCGTGGCGGAGAGCATCTCCTTCAGGCTTTCTGTGCGGAGTGCGGGCATTTTCCTGCACTCTGGACAGATGTACCAGAACCACTTGCATGGTTGTCTCTTCATCAGCTTATAGTATTGTCGGGGGACTTTGGTGTCGCAGTGGCAATGCGCCCATCGTTGACATAGGTTGCATGCAAATGCCTCATCGACTACCGAAACAACTTTGGTGCAAACACTGCAGCCATCGGGTGTCGTAATACAGCCTTCCTTGCATGAATAAGGTGCTACGGATTGTGGCGAACTGCTTGTGGCTGCCTTGTTCTGAAGCCTTTTACGTCGTCTTCTATTTCCAGGCATGGTATGATCCTTGGTTTGTGACGGGCTAGTGCTACTCTGTGTCACCTGTCTGATGGCTACTGGAATTCTAGAAACATGGGTTGGCCACTTCTTTAGAAGTTCGGTGTTCTGCCCTACCTCTGTTTGTTTCTAGTACAGACTAGTGTGTTGTTTGGGTGTTTTGGCCGTTTTTGTGCACGACCGCGTTATCCGTGTCAAAGCTTCGTGTCTAGCGTTTTGGGCAGACATGTCGCTATGATATAAACTTCTTGGGAAAACAAGTAGTTAACAACAATAAGAGGGTTGAAGACTGAATGCAGCAAAAGGACAGAATAGAAAAGGGAAGATAATTTATGTTGGCTCACCTTCAGACACTTGTCACTTGATCCTCTGCTCTTGACCAACGAGTTTAACCGTAAGCTCCAGATGCGTATGTATAACCAGGAAAGATATTTCCTGGGGAATGACCTCCGAGGAGAACCGAGAGCTAAGGCAGTTTGGCAGTTGAAACGCCCAAGAACCACTGACAGGAGGTAGACCGGTTGGTTCAAAGGAATAATAATGCCAATTTTCAACTGTTGAGAAGTGAGCTGACGAATACGCAGGGGTGAGGTGCGTGGACGGACAGAAGTGCTGCAAACGTTCGATCTTTTTAGATTGAGTATTGTAAGTGGGAGTTTTTCAATGTGGAAAAATCCAAAAGCTGAGAGACGAGCGAAAACACGTCACTATTCAAGGAGCTCGCGAATATGGTTTGTGTTTGATGTGTAAGCACAGAAAAAGCAAAGAATCTAGCTAAACGTGAAAAGTCACTCCCTTTTTAAACAGTGCGGTCCAACTTTGGTAAATGTCTTTTTGTGTTATTTTTGTTTCGAGATTTCTAGTGGTACTGACTGTATGATAACTGAGCATGACTTATAAAGAATGCGCCGAAATAAACAAATCCAATATGGAACTATAATTCTACTACAGTGCTAAAGTCTTACACTTACATTAATAATCTTCAAGTTCCATAACAAAATCAATAATAATCCATATAACACGTAAGAGAAGAAAATTAGTTGTATAGAGATGTGAAATGTAAATTGATTCATTGTCTAAAAGAGACATTTGAATATTCTCACTGAATATATCATGTTGACGTTTCAAACAAGCTGATAGTATCATGCGATGTGGCTTCTTTGTTTACAGTGAATAAAACGATTGATATAATCTGTCAACAAACTGATTTGTTACTGTTGCCCAAAATTAAATAGCTAATACTCCTTTGCATAAAAGATGTCCAGTTCCATCGAAAGACTGATGGAGTGACCATCAGTTCACTTGTATGATCTGTTCTAGTATATTTTTCCCTTGGGTTCCTAGTAGAACATAGGGCTTCAGCAGCACACCTCCATTCCACTCTGTTCTCTGCAGTCTTCAAAACCTGGTGCCACGACTCTCCACGAGCTTTCATTTCTTCCTCACATGATCTCCTCCATGTCATCCTCGGACGTACAACTCGTCGTTTCCCCCTTTGGATTCCACTCGAGGACCTGTTGCGGAATGCTCCCGAACTGTCTTCTCAGTGTATGCCCAACCCATCTCCACTTTCTTCTTCTGAATATATTTGTTGGTGATAGGTTCGTGACTGATTCGTTGATAGCCAGAGTTCCTTGTTGCTTATTCTTTCTGGCCATCTGAGCTCCAGTAATGAGCGTAGGCAGTTGTTGATGAATATCTGTAGTTTGTTGGAAATGCTTTTCGTAACGCACCAAGTCTCTGAACTATATAGAAACACTGACTTGACTGAATTAGTGTTGAAAGTCCGGATGTTGTTCACGCTTTATGCTGAGTGCAGTGAAGCAGATCTCCTCACTGGTTTCAGGTTAATGAAGGCCTGTCTTGCTATTCTGATCCTTGCTTCGATGTCCTCATCTGTGCCGCCTGTAGTTGAAGCGATGCTGCCTAGGTAGGTGAGAGAGACTACTTATTTTAGATTTCTCCCGTTCATGGTGATTGGTGCTTGTTGTTGATGCTGATGTTGGTTGGATATCTTCATCACCTCCATCTTCTCTACATTCACTTGAAGTCCTGTCTTGGCTGCTTCTTCTATCAACTTGTTAGTTTTCGCCTGTAGATCTTCAGGTTTGTGCTACAAGACATTAGACATAGGTCATCATCGTTGGCGAAATCCAAATCGTCTAGGGTCTTTTCATCGGTCCCGCCAGTGTATGCCTATCTTCTCGCTCCTCACTGTTTGCTGCATGATGCAGTCCATTCGACCAAAATCAGGAAGATCATGGGTGATAGTAGGCAGCCTTGTCTTACTCTAGTCCCTTGTCTTCACTTCAAAAGCGTCACCGAGCTTTCCATTGTGGATCACTTGGTACGCGGCCTTTTCGTATAGCTGTTGAATGAGGTCGATAAAGGTTTGTGGCACTTCATATATATATATATATATATATATATATATATATATATATATATATATATATATATTCATGGGTTATCTCGAACAGATATACCTGAGTTCAGCCATCAAAGGAACAAGCTATTACCATAGGTACCTTGCCAACACCTTTATTGTTTGTAATGATATGAAATATGCAAATGAGTTGTTTGACTAGCTCAACACGGCTCATAGTAACATTAAATTTACGAGGAAATAGGAGCATGAAAACGAGTTCAATATTTTGGGCATCAATCTGAAAAGAGGTGATGGTATCAGTGAAAAGAGTATCTATTAAAAAAGTACATGAACGCGGCAGTTCTGTCCTACCACGGATAAACATGAATTAGTCAAAACACTTTACGACAGACCTTTAAGAAATTATGTTCTGTAAACAAGTTAGAGAAAGAACTTAACCCTATTGAGAAGTTTCTTCTACAGAATGAATATCTTAAGAGATTTATTGTAAAGTATGAAAACAAACAGACTGTTGTCGAAAAGAAGGTTTTTATGTATCTTACGTTCAAGGAAGTTGCGATATCCAAGAGAATGGACATAAGAATTAAAGGAGCTTTCGTGCAACTAAACTTTTATCAGCAAACAATACAACATACCCGTTAGATCAGTCAACATTGGATAATTACCCTGCTCATGTCATCTACAAGTGTATTTATGAATTCACATGGAGTTGTGATAGGAAGTACATTGAAAAGAGTGAGAGGAGGGTGCCCATTTGGTTCACTGAGCATATCTCCAAGAATCTGTCCTTGAAAAGAAGTAAAATCCTAACCAGTGCAATTACCAGAGACCTTGTAAACACACGAGATTAGTTTGAAACCTTGAGTGTTTTTGAAACAATTACCGTACAGTGAATGTCTGGATTACTGACCTTCGTGAAAGCGAGCGCAATCTGACATTTATACACAGAATGAGGATATGGTTAATCTCTCATTCTCTTGGTGGCTATGATTTGTTTCTATTTCCTTTTAGTTATGTAACTGTTCACTTATCTAATTATCCTTATTATTTTTTCTCCGTCACACTTCTTACCTATGTATAATTAGTAATTCTCTTACACGTTTTTTTATAGTCCGTTAGAACAGTACCTGTAAATTGGTTCATTTTTACTCTGTACAAGTGAGTCTTATAGTTGCCGAACCCGATGATAATATATTGAAAAGAATATATATCTTGTTGTATTTCATGGAAAGATTATACACCTTTTCAGTTTACATGTTGTTAAACTTTGGCTAACTTAACTCTGAAAAGCTTAACCTCTTTTCCATACTGCTCTAATTTTCGTCACTTTTTTAGACTACTTACTATTTAGTTAATAGTATACCATTTCCAATAAAAAAAGTCATGAAGGAAATGTTTACAGCTGAAACTTACTGTACATCGACAGTGAAGCAACTGACTAGCAGCATCTCTGATATTCTGAAGAAATATACCATTTGACACTGACCAACTATTTGATCCTGATAAATGGTGTATAGTTTCCTTACATTCATCTGAAATGTTACAACATGGTAACTGAAGTTGCAAATTATGAAAATCAGACTGTCTCATTCTGTTATTAGTGTCCTCAACATTTTTGTTAATCGTATACAGATTAAGATATGTTGATGCATTGAATGTGTCATTAGTAGCTGAAATCAACTGCATGGTTGAGGAAGATACAATTTTATTCACAGGTGTTGTGTTGGCACTCTCCTTACCAACCCCTACACTGGTAGAATTAGTAAAAGTAGGAGGAGGAGGAGGGGTATGATATTCGTTGTCACTGAATACACAACTTGGTAGTTCAAAAGTGTAATGTAACTTTGTTGAATCATTAGCCTTCATCATATAAATCTCTTCTGGAGAATGATATAAACTTGTATGAGATATAGAATGGTGTGTAGGTTTCAAATGTTCCTTTAACTCTGTATCAAATGATTCATTCATCTCCAATAAACTTAATAATCTAGGTTGTTGATATTGTTTAAGTTGTTTGTTATGAAAACTGACTGATTCAACATGTATATTAGATAATTCTGTATTCATTCTATTCTCTTCATAAAGAGTTAACTGATTATCAGTTATAATTACTGGTGATTCAAGTAAACTACTACTGCTACTACCACTATTACTATTACTAGTAGTAGTAGTAGTAGTAGTAGTAGTAGTAGTAGTAGTAGTAGTAGTAGTAGTAGTAGTAGTAGTAGTAGTAGTAGTAGTAGTCTGTCTACGCCTCTTTTGATTCATTGACTTATCAACTTTTAATTCAAATGTGTAATTATCCTTTTTATTAGAATATAAATGAGAATTAATTTTATTTTCAATTGGATTTAATGTATAATCTGATGTTTCTATTGGCTGAATTTCTGTTGAATTATTGTTCATTGTTTTATCTGTTATAATTATCTTTGAATTATATGATGTATTTATTCGCTGAAAGAAAACAAGAAGGAGAATTTTATTTCTTTATCTAATAGTATAAATGACCACTTCACAATATAAGTATACCAGAACGTGTATTGGAAGAAAAATAGACTGCTTTATTCTGTTACTATTCATTGATATATTTGTTATGCTCCGTTGTTTCACTGGATCGAGTTGTCCGACCTCTGTTGGTATATGGACTCCTATGTGGATGTCTTGATATTGCCTGGATGTTAATTGTGATAATTTGGTTGGTTGTGGCTAGCAGAAGAATCTAGGATGCCCTTTTCATCCTATTTGGGACTAATCAGTTTGATGTAGCTGCACTCCAATGTCGAGTGATGTTGTTCCCACCGAGACTAGGAATGAGATCGTATATGCACGCTTTGAACTGTTTTGAACTTACCAACTGGGTGTTTCTGGACTTCAGTATTCAGTAACACTTTTGGCGGAGCTGAAACTCAGTAACGTTTTTCCCCGACCTCCCAACCCAATGGTTCGGTGGTAACGTGCTAGCCATGGAGTCAGAAGGCCTAGAGCTCGACCACTTCCTGGGTTATGGGTTTGTGCTGCTGTCTAGTGCCTCCAGGTTCTCAGTGGTTTTCCAGCTGATGTCATCTTGTGATGAATGACAACTCGAAAGCAGTAAAATGCAAAAAAAGCATATTTCGTCCTACTTGAGACTCCTCAGATGGATGTACCTACCTCCAAGTGAATGATACTGTTTCCTTTGAGACCCGTACCCGTATCCATCGCTTTAAGCACCTAAGCGTTATCTAATAATACATAAGGCTCATCCTGGGTACTACTACTAGCCACGAATTAGATTATGACATAGTTAGCGCCGTTCTTAATTTCAAGGAAGTCTACATTGATAATATGATTAATGCCTGAGTCATGTAACACTGTAGCTGCAGATATTATATTTGATCCTTTCAGAATATAAATAACTTTGTCGCCGACTTTAGTATCTTAAACGATCAGTTTTGTGATACTGGTTGATTTCACACCTTAGTTATAATCGTTTATAGAATAACATACAGTCACTTGAACAATCCGGGGTACCCGGCTGATGAGCTCGGCACAAGACGATTGAAACGGTCGTCTGGTGGTGAGATCACCCTGATTCGGCTAGAGAACACTGCTGACGTAACTGGCCCAGAACTACTCTTAACAGTCATGGTATATTACGTGCAGCTCCACGCTCACAATCTTAACATCGATTATGGTGTCGAACACTTACTAAATAAACTCCAGTACCAACGCTTCGTTATCTGTTTTGATTTGTTATACTATAGGCGGCCAGCAGGGGAATCCAGGACATACGTTTCTTCTACTATATAAAAATCGTCAACTGAACAAAACCTCACCCCAGTGAGTGATGGATGGTATCTTTAGTGGGGACCGAATCCGGTAACAATTACACCAAATATCAGAGCATTATCCACAAGATTATCCAGTCAAAACAACCATCTCTTATGTTAAGAGTAACAGTTGTTATTTATTGACACTTGTAATTCCCAGTTGTTATACTGAATCAAATCGATCGATCTCATTTCGCATATAGGTTTTAGTGCAGGTGCTTCAATATTGCCAGAAGATTAAGTATGTTACAACTTGTTCAATGGAAACATCATCAGTCACTTGGATATTGAAGTATCGCGGTAACGAGTCCCAAAAAAAGAACAGAACGTATGTCTTTCTTTCCACCAACCAAGTATTCGTTGATTAAGATTGATGGTTAAAATAGTACTATTCTTCTTGGGAAGCTACCATACTTGCACTGTTCTATTAATCATAAAAACAAAATATATTCGTCGTCAAAAGTGTTAAGAACCCACTGCCAGTATCCCCACAAATTGTATCTATATAACACTTTAAAAGTGTTATTGACAGGAAGTGATTTAAATCGAAATCAGCATTCTTAGTCATCAGCCTCTAAGGCAGAAGTTTTGGAATTCAACCTTGTTTCACACTATTATATGGGCAGGAAAACCTTATTGGACAACTTTTTCCTTCAGCTGACCAATGAAAATAAGAATCCAACTTATGAACCTAGTTGACAAGATGTGGCCAGTTATGATAATCAACCTTCAAGGTCATCAACCGTTGGGGTAGAGGTATTTTTCTTTCAGATTTTGATCTATGTCTATATGTGGACAAAGTGACTTTATTGGGTGATTCGATAGCCAATAAGATTATGTTATTCTATCTTTGACAGGACAATTTTTATGTGTTGGAACCGTATATAAGTGCTGTAGTTTAGCGAATAAACCTATCGTCCCTGCAGTCACAGATCTGCCTTTGTCTATTGATATTTGCTCAACTCAGTGAAGAATGTGATGCTGAGTGGGAATAGTCATATTGGCACTCAGCTCTAGTATATCACTGGGTTCAGTATCGTTATTATCTATATCTTACTCCTCTCAGTTACTTACTTCACCAGTGGCTTTATTTTCATAAGAAAAACTGTGTGTAAATGATCTGTTTTTTGTCAAATAATGTTGTACTCCTTACAGTCATGGACCAACCAGTCTTTGCCTTCTTAAGTTCGCTGCTCAGTGAAGTATTAGGTCTGAGGGAGAACAGTTGCTATTCGGATTCAATCCAGGTATGTCAAAGAGTTAGTAGCGTTCTTATATCTTGTATTATTCTGTCAGTCACTTCAGCTATGCTTGTTAAAATGCACACTGTGATTATCTAAAAGAATAGAAAAATAAGTTAAGAGATCCCTTCTGCATTATATAATGTAATTTCACTCGCCAAACTGTATTACCAGTAGGATGGTTACTGTTTAGCAAGTGTTTCCTACCCATAGTCCTGTTATGACCGGTAGTATGACATTACAGACTGCGAGTGGTGCGAACCCAATGAGCAAACAAATCGACTCTGATGCAAATCAGAGCGTCAATCACCACAACAGCAATACCACCGACACCCAAAGACAAGAAGAGAAGACAGACCCTTGACAGCGAACTTTTCATTATCTCAACAATAGTGAATACAGTTGACAGTGATGCTGAATATATACATCTTAAAATGACGTTGAAAACACTAAATCCACATAAAGATCAAGATAGTTAACAGCCAATGAGAGTTCAGCCTTGAGAGCAAAGGGAAGAAAAACTGGCAACGGTGTGAGAACAGTCATGTAGGTTATTTAAGGTCATGGATAGAACAGGAGGCAAAAGTTATGCAAAATTAGAAGTATATTGCAAGCCTTCACACTCGCGTTATGGTTTCTTGCACTCACTTCATCGATTTACGTCAATCGTGTTGGTTAAGTTGAAAGAAGGCTAGGGGTAGTCAGATGAAGATAGTATAAATTCACGAAGTCTTCGATTTTTGATGTCTCATGTAGACAGGTGTAAACCACCTGGTTAGGGTTGTCGAAATAATGGAAATCAATGGCTGAAAAGTTAATGAAAAACCTGAAAATCCATTACAACAGCGCAAATGCACACACACACACTTTCTTACTTTCAAAGTTTTCTTTATCTTCTCTTTCTGTTCAAGTGTTTAGATCGCTCTAACCAGCTTGGTTGCCTGGAGAAATCAACAGATCAGTCTGACTGCCTTCTAATTGCTCAAGCTGTTCAGTAGTAGTATCTTTCAAAATAATGGAGAATATTTGTAGCTCAGGTGGATGGTCTTGGTTGTATTGTGCTCTGTGAGCTGGGTTGTTTACTTATGAAGCTTTCATCGTCCTTCTAGACGATATCATCAACACTAACTTCATTATGAAGTGAGCTGTCAATATCTCTCCGTGAGTGATTTAGTAGCTTGCTCTGACGATGTGGTCTGTGATTTGTTGTTTCCTTTGATTGTTGTGTCATTGGTTGTGTAGACTTTCCTGTTGGCTGTTCCTCTGCTTTACCTCTGACCTTTCTGTCGTTTATCATTTTTCTTATTGGTTGATAGATCGGGTCTATGTCTATACATCTCTCTATTGATTGCTGACTGACTGACCTGAATGCCAAGCTTCTAGGAATTCTCTGATATTCTTTGTGTTTCCTCTCTCTGTCCAAGATTTCTACATTGTCCAAATTGAACTCATATCCATGGTTGTTATCCACGTGCATTGAAATGAGTGATGAGATGTCATGTGTGACGTTTAATAGCCGATTGGTGTTTATGTAGACGATGAAGGCGAAGAGGGTGACCACTATGTCCAATGTAGTGTTGACTACAGTTATTGTAGTTGATTTTGTAAATGATATTCGGTTTGTCTTCTTTGCTTGTAGCATCCTTTGGTCTGCATAATAGTGTTTGGAGGGAATTTGTTGGTTTATGAGCCACATCAATTCCACTAAGTGGTCTCAGTAATCCTGTCGTGGTTTCTGACACATTCTTTATGTATGGTAGGATGGCGCGTTTATTGATTTCTGTCGATGACTTTGTAATTGATGTTGTACGGGATAGACATCTCATGAAGTTTTGTGGATAACTGTTCTTCTTTAGGATGGACATCAAGTAATTTTCTTCGTTTCTCCGTGAAGTTGTTGTGCTGCAGTGTGTTCTCGCTCTTTTGAATAGAGTCTGCACGCAACTGACTTTGTGTGTTGTTGGGTTGTTGCTACAGTAGTTGAGGATTTGGTCAGTGTGTGTTGGCTTCCTGTACACTTGGGTTCCCAGCTTCCCAACAGTCCTACTGACTAAAAAAATCCAAGAATGGTAGTTGGTTGTTTGACTCTTTCTAATTACTCAAGTTGTTCAGTAGTAGTATCTCTCGCTATTTCATGGCACTTTTCGTTAAGTGGTTGTTATAAAAATTATTCAACAATGAGGAATGTCAATGTAAAGTGGTCATTTGTTAAATTGCTTATATGTTGTTGTGAAGTCAGGTAAGTTGAACTAATCCACTTCTGTGCGAGGTTCTACATTGAATTGTCTATCTATCTCTTCTGAACTGATTGCAAAATTTCGTCCTTAGTGTTTCGTAAGCCTTAAGAATAATTCATACAAGGGGAATAAGAATGACAAGTACATTCTTCATTGTACTCAACTGAAAAGTTATCCAGCTCAAAATATTTACAAAAACTTTTCGATTGAATTACCAGTACTCCAGTACATATAAATGAAACGAAACTATTACTTAATTCTAAGATATGAATAAAGGTTTTACATCTTGGAAACTGTATACCTTATCCTACTGTATATCGTGCTGTAATACGGGTGGGTGGGTGTAAACTCCTGAAAAATTAACACCTAATCTGGTAAAAAAAAAATCAATCCATGGTTCCTTCATACTCATAAACTGATTAGTGAACGGGATGGGATTCATTGTCAATTTGAAATATTAACATAGCCTTGTTCAGCTGAAAAATTGAACGAGGGCATAATGGTGGTTCAGAAGTCAATGTTACAATGTATTCCATATCCAAACCTTACGTCACTTCATCCAATTAGATTTGAGGTCTATTCAGTTAACTGTAACTTCCAAGTTGCTGATACGATATCCTACCTATCGATGGATGAGACTTACCTGTTGACCAGGTCCTAAATTCACTTCAACTGGTGATGGTTTTGCCTGCTTATCAAGTGAATCCTTTGATTGGAAACTGAAGTCAAAACACCTGCCAAGTGCTTCATACGTTGCAATATTCCATCAATAGGTAAAGAGTCATCAGATTCTTTCAGCCTCACTTCTTTAGTCACTTAAGAAAAACAACTAACATTAGGATTACTCCACCCTCAAGTACAATCCACTCAAAATTATGTTAAACATACACTTTTTCAAACTGATCAATCCCTTCTCAAGTTTTTTACAGCTGCTATTATCATTAAGAGTTCTTCGATGTCAAGTCATACATAACAGGCCACTTATCATAAAATCATTACACCTCTGGATAGTGGTACCGACTGGTGACTGAAGCACGCTTGATTTACTATCAGATTATGCAAGCTTATTTACATACGCATAATATTTAGATCTAATCCATATGATGGTCTAAAATGTTGAGTTCACTTATTTCACCCTTTTATGTTTTAGACATATACTACTTGCTATTTATAAGTAGTATGATTTGCATCATCATCGATTTTGAAAAGGCCTTCGGCCGAGTAGTTCGGCACCTGATTCAATACTACAGTTCTAGTGCCACAAACCTTTATCAACCTCATTCAACACCAGCTATGCATGCTGTATGATAATACATGCCAAGTGATTCACAATGTAAAGCTCAATGATGCGTTTGAAGTGAAGACGGGGGATAGGAGTAAGACGAGGTTGCCGCCTACTATCACCGATCTTGATTATGGTCGACCGGATTGGACCATGAAAGAAACTGTAAAGAGGTGTGAGAAGATGGGCATACGTTAGCTGGACCAATGTAAAGACCCTAGACGATTTGGATTTCGCCAACGATGATGATTTATGTCTAATGTCTTGTCTCACAAACTCGAAGATTTACTGAAAGTGACTTTTTTGAGTGAGTTTAGGCAGAGGTACTGTAAGCATATTCACCATAGTCTGTCCACAGCATGCTGAATACTGTCTCTATACTTTAGAGCTACATACTGGGAGTCAAACAGATTCTTGTTGATCTACCTTTCATGATTTTAATTCTGTCCAATAACTTAACTGCCGGAATCCATATTCTACAAGCTTTGTAAACTTCATAGTATTACAGTTTTTGGGAAACTAGCAGTGTTTTGCTGAGTTGATTTGTTTGTTCTTTCTCAATGCATGAATAAAGAATCTTGAAGAATGTCTTCCAGATACAGTTTGCATGCAGTTTGTGGGATTATTATTTAGCTTAGTAATATTAACTTCACATAACTAATCTATTTGAATATTTGTGATAACTGTTTATTATCTATAAAAGAAGTTTCTACTGTGATGCTTCTCAGCTGATGTCATTACATCCTTCCTCAACTATTAGGATCTTCAAGAATAAGTTTCCTAGCCTATACAGTCCTTCAAGTCAATGATGGCAATAATCGATAGTGACCAGCAATGGAATCTAGGACGTGCACTTCGCCCTACTTCCAACTCACCAGCTGGACGTGTCTACCTTCGACTAAGACTCAAAACCGCGACGTATTGCTTCAAACACCAAATACAGGTGACAACAAAGTAATCTAACCAAGCATTACAAGTAAGTAGACATAAACGACGCATCACAGATCCTGCCCGACCAGGGAAGGGGAACATTTTTCAGTAAGTACCCACAGGTTCATCTGTTACTGTAAACATACCCTTAAAGGTAATCGTTTTATATTATACCATCGTTGATTAGATCAAACTGATCGGTTTCTATTAGCAAATGCGCTACTGTGTTCTAATTACAGAAATGATGGATCGTCGCTAGCAGTGGAATCCAGGATGTACATTTCGTCCAATTCAGGACTCGTCTGCTGGATGTACATGCCTCCCAGTGAGTTATGTCGTTCCCACAGGGATTCCAACTCGGGAGCGTTAGCTTCTAACGCCACAGCGTTATCCGCTACACCAGCGAGCCACGGTAGCCACTTCTTATGTGACGAGTATAGTTTTAGTATAATTACTTGTATTATACCGTGGTTGATTGAACCGAAGTGATCGGTCTTTATTGGCATATAGGCTCCTGTGTAGATGTCTCGATTTACCTGTGTTCTAGTTATAGTAATGATGGATAGTGGCGAGCAGTGGAATCCAGGATGCTCAGTTCGTCCTATTTGGGACTATTTCCTCATACCCCCTTATGAATGACTGAAACTAGTCTGCCAAACCATGGTTATGTTAGAGAGTCACAACAACAAACAAAACTGTATTCCACGCCACACAGGTCACCTAGTAATGATGGATAGTGGCTAGCATTGGAATCCACGATGTGGTATAATACAAGCGATAACACTAAAGCAATACCCGTCACATAAGAAGTGTCTATCGTGACTTGGTGGTGTAGTGGATAACGCTCTATTGTTTGAAACGATTGGTCCCGAGTTTGAATCCCAGTGGGAAGAATATCACTCACTGGGAGGCATGTACATCCAGCAGACGAGTCCCGAATAGGATGAAGTACTCAACCTATATTCCACTGCTAACCACTATCCATCATCGCACCGTTAAAGAATACAGATTAACAAAGACTTTTTGTTTTAAACTAGAATAATTACCTTTCTTCTTGAATTGTTGCTATCCTCAGTCCATTCAGATGTAGCTAGTGTCATTGTTTTCTGTTTTTCATTTGCTATCAAATCTCCTTGTTCATTGATTCCATCGTTATTATTATTATTATTATTAGTATTATTATTATTATTATTATTATTATTATTATTATTATTATTATTATTACTAGTTGTTAGCTGATAGTTTTCACTATGATTATAGTTTTCACAATTTAATAATTTCGATTTAACTAATGATGATGTATACCGATTTAAGAAAGTTTTTGATGGAGAGAAATATTGACCACTTGATGAAATAAATGAATGTGATGGATTGAAATTTGTACACTTAAGATTTTTAAATAAACTACGCTTATTATGATTTCTTGAAGGAGTAGAATTACTATTATTGTCAATGTTGTTACTGCCACTACCATTGCTGCTGCTGCTGCTACTACTACTACTACCACTACTACTGTTACTACTACTATTAATATTGTTTAGTAATTCATTTGTAGGAAGAGAAGATATTCTATTAAAATCTTGATCATAATTTGTTAAGCCAATCATCTCATTCTCTGTATTGTTATACTGATTAATAGATGTTGGATCAAGAAATTGATTGATTGAATTTGTTTGAAATATCTCTGTATGACTGTTAATTTCTGTTAATTGAAATGGACTAGATCGTTGATTAGATATTGGATAATGAGATAAATTATCATTTATTGTATTTAAACAACATAACGGTGTATTTGAGTTTTTTAAACAATAGTCTGATTTTGATGATGATGATGAATATGGTGCATCTTTAGATGATGAAATTGATAGTGATGAAGATAACTGTGAAGTATGACGAATTCGTTTAGTCATTAGATCAGTTTTTATAAATGGTAATGATATTTTTGTCATTTCATTCACTTTCATTTGTTTCATAGTAATATTCTCATCTAATCTATTATTATTAAGAATACTGTAACTATCATCCATTATTATTGATGTATTCAAATTATAATTGACTATTGATGAAGATGAATGTTGCTTTAAATCTGATTCAACCAATGAATTCATTTGTTCTAACTCAATGGTATTCATTCCATCTTGTTCAATGTTCCAATTCATTGTTTGTTTAAATGGTGGTGAATACTCTTCAGTTGTTTTCATGAACACTTTTTTTGTTATTTCATCATCCCATTGGTTAGATTCTTTTTTCAATTGTACATCTTCATAATATAAATATTCTTTATTCTCTTTATTGTTTACTAGTTTCTTATATTGGTTATTATCAATGATATCAGTAGTTGTATTAGTAGTATGCGTATATGATTGATTGTTTTTTTTGGTTTTGATAATATCGTTTTTAAATGGTGGGAAATTTGATTTTAAATTATTTGCATATTGCATTTGTAAGTCTTTTTCATGTTGACTATAAAATTGAGCTGCTCTAGATAAATTTATCAATCCAATTGATGAATATTCTTGATTAATAATTTCATTGAATTCTTTCTGTTTAATTAAACATGTAACAGAATCTGATGGTATTGTTATAGTTCCCGTCGTAAGCATTCTCTCAGAATCAGCTATTGATGATGATGATGATAATGATATTGAATTGAATAATTCATCAGTTTGACTATTACGATATTTATTTTTGTATAATTGTTGTTCAACGACACATTGATCAGATATTCTTTGAATAGATGTTGGAGTACTACTTTGATTTGCCGGGAAATTTGACCTTGACGGCGTTTGTAGGTTATCATCGACCACTTCACATGATTTATTCTCTTCTTCTTCACGATTTAAATTGGTGGTCATTTCTGATCTGGCTAACAGCTCATAAGAAAATGTGTTTAAATGCGTTAGCTGAGAAGTAGTTGAAATAGTTGAATCATTTAAACAACTTTTATAATTTAAACTTATTTTTTCCTTATCCATATCAGTTTCATATTCAAAATCAGATTGATTTAAGGAATTTGTGTGAATTATATGATTTGATGGATGATTTAAGGAAGAGGATAAAAAATTGTACGATGAATGATAATTTGAATTTCTTGAACAATTCAACTTTGAATATTGTTTCGAATGTAAAATTGAATTAGTTACTCCTGATCGAATTTGTTCAATTTCAACTGCACAACGATGTTTCATTGCATTCGGTTGACGACCGATACGACTACCTGAAATCAGTATAAAATTCACCCATAAAGCATTTTATACCACCCATAACAAATGAAATCATATCAGCAAAATCGTTACAAAATATCATGAAATATCTTTTTTATTTCAGGATGATAATCATCATCAACTGGCACAAGTCGGAGAATGGCTGAGAGCCTAGGAGCACTCGAAACCTTCTACAGTCTAGTGTGTGACTCCTCAGCAGTGTACATCCATGACAGTGGAAGATGGTGAAACAGAAGATGAACCAGTGCAGGCAGGGATGAATTACACAAAGAGGAACTGAACACAACCTATACAACACTACACTGGACGAAGAAGTGAAGAAGAGTGGGCACGATAGCAAAAGACACTTCTACGACACACTTGGAAGTGAGGAAGAACAGGCTGCTGGTAGGAGAGACAGAGACCTGACAAAATTATATCAAATAACCAGGTTACTATCTGGGAAGAGATCAACGCAGACGAAACCAATGAGAGGTAGTGAAGGAAAGCTAGCGTTCATTAACCTGAAACTAGTGTGGAGATCTTCTGCACTCAGCATGTGGAAAGGCATTTCCAATAAACTACAGACATTTATCAACAACTGCCGCCTACTCCGGCTGGCCCCACAATGAACCAACGAAGCAAGAACCTATCGCTCAACAAATATGCACGGCAAAGAAGTGGTGATGGATTAGGCATACACTGTTAATTCACGACAGAGCACAACTACCAACCAAGGTTACCATTTGACATCTGCTTCACTTCCTACTTAACTGACCCCGATGGTGATGACTCCTCATTAGAATTTCAAGAAAACTATCTTGTAGGGTGTCACTAATAAGCAGTGAACAAAACAGCTCGTCAATGCTTCCAGGTTCCAATGGTTTCCCAACTAATTTCAGTCTGTGATGAATACTACCTTGAAATCTATAAAGAAAAATCGATATGAATAAAACAAGGAGTTAAACACAGAAATATCCCCCTTAGTCAATAGTTACTGAAAATTTATCAAGAATGTACTTGCTGAAGTGTAAAAGTTATTGTTATATCAGCTGAAAAGTTGAAAGTCAGAATCTCAGATAAGTGTCATTGGCTGTATGTTTGTTTATTATAAAAGTCGTTTTACTTATGACCTAATTGATAATAAGAATGTGTAGCTCGAATCAAGAGCTTGTGATTGACGCCCCCACTTGTTTATGTACGGCCTATATAATCTGCATGTTGAGTCAAATCCATTAATGTATATTATCCCATATTTTGTGTTTAAAATCATTTTATAAACTATGGTGGATCGCGGTCACGTGATTTAGTTATGTAGGCATATGAATAAGTTCGTCTGAGATATGCAAACAACACGTACCAGCCTTTGTGAGCTGTTATAAACGCTTGGGGGGGTGTAATGGCGTGACTCATCGTGTGTGTGAATTGAATAGACAAAAAAGGGCAGGTATATATATTGGCGACCAATCACGTTGAAGGTCAACGTTAATACTGAAGAGACGAACCATGTGCTTATCCGATTGCAACCAGTCAAGGTCATAGTGAGTTATCGATTGAGCTAACACATGAATATCACAGTTATGACGTATTTTCACAACTCCAATGTTATTCCCACTTATATATGACAGTTTGCACCACTGAATTATACACACACACACACACACACACACACACACTCTCAAGTGTTTGCAGAAATCTTTATTTGGCAGTAGACCTAACACACTAGGTTTGATGAAATTGTCTGTAACATCGATTATCTGTTTTCGAATTAAGCTACGAAGAACGTCTGGATAAAAGGATAACGGCGATGGTAACTGCAATCGCAGCTATAGGAGTCTTTCCATAAATAAATAGGCAAGCCAATACACATAGGATAGTCTGTTACAGTTTTGTTTAAACATGAGAGTGTTTCCCTCTGAGTTTTGCACAAGAAATCTCAAACATAACTACTTACTGACAAAATACACTGCACATGATACATATCAATAAATTTTGAGATAGTACTCATTGCGGAATGATATCAGTTGGGAAGCCATCGAAAACCTGGGAGCACTAGATAGCCAGCTGTTTTGTCCTAGTATGAAACTCCTCAGCAGCATGCATCCACGACCCCACCTGACATGGACCGAACGTGTCAACCATTCAGTCACTGGATGGGAGTTCAATTGTTCACAGTTTGCAACTTCCGCCCATTCGTGATATAGCGTGACTACCACTCAAGGTCTTCAACTGGGGTCCACTTCCCTTCCAACCAGTTGACCCAACGGGACATGGCTTCTCATTAGAACTTTGCAATATCCATTTGGAAGCATATCACTAATGAGCACTATATCGATAAATGTTTTAACCAATTTATTGTATTAGCCAAATATACTACTTAACCAACTGAGTAGTTAGAGATCATTAATAAAACTCGAAACCTCGCCTGGATAACTAGTTCACTAGTTACTAGCCAGTCCTAAACCACGATAAAGAGGGAAGGTTGGGCATAGGGCTACCAACCCTACCCCCAGAAAACCAATCTAACCACTGAAGAAACTTTAAAGCACAAAGAAAATATAAACAATGAAAACAATATTGTTCCTCGCTGGAATCGCAGAGACGAAATGACACCAGTTGGTGAAAGCCTTTGGGAAGCCAGTCGGCCGATGTTGTCTTCTCTCTCTAGATGAAAGCAAAAGTCAGAATGGACACATGGAATGTCCGCACCATGTATGCACCTAGCAAGGCTGCCCAGATTGCAAACGAGATGAGAAGGTATCGCATTGGAGTGTTAGGAATTTGCGAAAGTAGATGGAATGGAAGTGGAGTCTCCAAATTGTCAACTCGAGAATCAATAATCTACTCCGATATTGTCATCAAGACGACAACCACGAGCACATTGAGTTTTGGAGTGGCTATCATGATGTCCCCAACAGCATCGAAGGCTCTCTTTAATGCAGTGGGAACCAATCTCCTCCAGGATCAGGAACATGACAGTAAGGCTCAACTCAAAAGGAAGGAAAATCACAATCATACAATGCTACACCATGCATCTACAAATAATGAGTATGAAGAGAAGAAGGAGGAATTCTACAGACAACTGCAGTCAGTAATCGACAAGACCCCACCCGAGTTGGCGACATCAAAATTCTAATGGGTGGCATGAATACCAAACTGGAAGTAGACAACACAGGAAGAGAACCAATCATTGGTCGAGAGGCACTCGGTGAAATGATGAATGAGAATGGGGAAATGTTTGCAGACTTCTACGCATTTAGTGATTTGGTGATTGGGAGCAGTGCGTACAAACACAAAGCGACATGGACTCGATTTCACCAGATGGGTACACTAAAAATCAGATCGACTTTATCTCAGTGTGAAGAAAGTGGAGACGCAGCCTACTTGACACAAGGTCAAGAAGGGGAGCAGATGTAGGTTCACACCACTCACTATCTAGTGCAAGGAACCTTCGAAACCGAGTTGAAAGTCTTCACAGAAGTTGGTGATAGACCACAGTTCAAGTTCAACACCCAGGACAGAAACTGAAGGAAGAAAGTACAACGAACATCTTTACGTCAGTCATCAGGAAAGAGTGGAAGACACTAAGCAACATCGCCGAGGAAAACTACGTGGAAGAACACTGGAACTCATTGAAAGAGACGTGGAGGGAAACCTGCATAACTGTGCTAGGAAGGAGGAAGAAACAAGACAAGGAATGCATCTTCACAGATATATGGAGGCTTATAGAGGAAGGAGAGGAAGATGGTGAAACAGAAGATGAACCAGTGCAGGCAGGGATGAATTACACAAAGAGGAACTGAACACAACCTATACAACACTACACTGGACGAAGAAGTGAAGAAGAGTGGGCACGATAGCAAAAGACACTTCTACGACACACTTGGAAGTGAGGAAGAACAGGCTGCTGGTAGGAGAGACAGAGACCTGACAAAATTATATCAAATAACCAGGTTACTATCTGGGAAGAGATCAACGCAGACGAAACCAATGAGAGGTAGTGAAGGAAAGCTAGCGTTCATTAACCTGAAACTAGTGTGGAGATCTTCTGCACTCAGCATGTGGAAAGGCATTTCCAATAAACTACAGACATTTATCAACAACTGCCGCCTACTCCGGCTGGCCCCACAATGAACCAACGAAGCAAGAACCTATCGCTCAACAAATATGCACGGCAAAGAAGTGGTGATGGATTAGGCATACACTGTTAATTCACGACAGAGCACAACTACCAACCAAGGTTACCATTTGACATCTGCTTCACTTCCTACTTAACTGACCCCGATGGTGATGACTCCTCATTAGAATTTCAAGAAAACTATCTTGTAGGGTGTCACTAATAAGCAGTGAACAAAACAGCTCGTCAATGCTTCCAGGTTCCAATGGTTTCCCAACTAATTTCAGTCTGTGATGAATACTACCTTGAAATCTATAAAGAAAAATCGATATGAATAAAACAAGGAGTTAAACACAGAAATATCCCCCTTAGTCAATAGTTACTGAAAATTTATCAAGAATGTACTTGCTGAAGTGTAAAAGTTATTGTTATATCAGCTGAAAAGTTGAAAGTCAGAATCTCAGATAAGTGTCATTGGCTGTATGTTTGTTTATTATAAAAGTCGTTTTACTTATGACCTAATTGATAATAAGAATGTGTAGCTCGAATCAAGAGCTTGTGATTGACGCCCCCACTTGTTTATGTACGGCCTATATAATCTGCATGTTGAGTCAAATCCATTAATGTATATTATCCCATATTTTGTGTTTAAAATCATTTTATAAACTATGGTGGATCGCGGTCACGTGATTTAGTTATGTAGGCATATGAATAAGTTCGTCTGAGATATGCAAACAACACGTACCAGCCTTTGTGAGCTGTTATAAACGCTTGGGGGGGTGTAATGGCGTGACTCATCGTGTGTGTGAATTGAATAGACAAAAAAGGGCAGGTATATATATTGGCGACCAATCACGTTGAAGGTCAACGTTAATACTGAAGAGACGAACCATGTGCTTATCCGATTGCAACCAGTCAAGGTCATAGTGAGTTATCGATTGAGCTAACACATGAATATCACAGTTATGACGTATTTTCACAACTCCAATGTTATTCCCACTTATATATGACAGTTTGCACCACTGAATTATACACACACACACACACACACACACACACACATCTCAAGTGTTTGCAGAAATCTTTATTTGGCAGTAGACCTAACACACTAGGTTTGATGAAATTGTCTGTAACATCGATTATCTGTTTTCGAATTAAGCTACGAAGAACGTCTGGATAAAAGGATAACGGCGATGGTAACTGCAATCGCAGCTATAGGAGTCTTTCCATAAATAAATAGGCAAGCCAATACACATATGATAGTCTGTTACAGTTTTGTTTAAACATGAGAGTGTTTCCCTCTGAGTTTTGCACAAGAAATCTCAAACATAACTACTTACTGACAAAATACACTGCACATGATACATATCAATAAATTTTGAGATAGTACTCATTGCGGAATGATATCAGTTGGGAAGCCATCGAAAACCTGGGAGCACTAGATAGCCAGCTGTTTTGTCCTAGTATGAAACTCCTCAGCAGCATGCATCCACGACCCCACCTGACATGGACCGAACGTGTCAACCATTCAGTCACTGGATGGGAGTTCAATTGTTCACAGTTTGCAACTTCCGCCCATTCGTGATATAGCGTGACTACCACTCAAGGTCTTCAACTGGGGTCCACTTCCCTTCCAACCAGTTGACCCAACGGGACATGGCTTCTCATTAGAACTTTGCAATATCCATTTGGAAGCATATCACTAATGAGCACTATATCGATAAATGTTTTAACCAATTTATTGTATTAGCCAAATATACTACTTAACCAACTGAGTAGTTAGAGATCATTAATAAAACTCGAAACCTCGCCTGGATAACTAGTTCACTAGTTACTAGCCAGTCCTAAACCACGATAAAGAGGGAAGGTTGGGCATAGGGCTACCAACCCTACCCCCAGAAAACCAATCTAACCACTGAAGAAACTTTAAAGCACAAAGAAAATATAAACAATGAAAACAATATTGTTCCTCGCTGGAATCGCAGAGACGAAATGACACCAGTTGGTGAAAGCCTTTGGGAAGCCAGTCGGCCGATGTTGTCTTCTCTCTCTAGATGAAAGCAAAAGTCAGAATGGACACATGGAATGTCCGCACCATGTATGCACCTAGCAAGGCTGCCCAGATTGCAAACGAGATGAGAAGGTATCGCATTGGAGTGTTAGGAATTTGCGAAAGTAGATGGAATGGAAGTGGAGTCTCCAAATTGTCAACTCGAGAATCAATAATCTACTCCGATATTGTCATCAAGACGACAACCACGAGCACATTGAGTTTTGGAGTGGCTATCATGATGTCCCCAACAGCATCGAAGGCTCTCTTTAATGCAGTGGGAACCAATCTCCTCCAGGATCAGGAACATGACAGTAAGGCTCAACTCAAAAGGAAGGAAAATCACAATCATACAATGCTACACCATGCATCTACAAATAATGAGTATGAAGAGAAGAAGGAGGAATTCTACAGACAACTGCAGTCAGTAATCGACAAGACCCCACCCGAGTTGGCGACATCAAAATTCTAATGGGTGGCATGAATACCAAACTGGAAGTAGACAACACAGGAAGAGAACCAATCATTGGTCGAGAGGCACTCGGTGAAATGATGAATGAGAATGGGGAAATGTTTGCAGACTTCTACGCATTTAGTGATTTGGTGATTGGGAGCAGTGCGTACAAACACAAAGCGACATGGACTCGATTTCACCAGATGGGTACACTAAAAATCAGATCGACTTTATCTCAGTGTGAAGAAAGTGGAGACGCAGCCTACTTGACACAAGGTCAAGAAGGGGAGCAGATGTAGGTTCACACCACTCACTATCTAGTGCAAGGAACCTTCGAAACCGAGTTGAAAGTCTTCACAGAAGTTGGTGATAGACCACAGTTCAAGTTCAACACCCAGGACAGAAACTGAAGGAAGAAAGTACAACGAACATCTTTACGTCAGTCATCAGGAAAGAGTGGAAGACACTAAGCAACATCGCCGAGGAAAACTACGTGGAAGAACACTGGAACTCATTGAAAGAGACGTGGAGGGAAACCTGCATAACTGTGCTAGGAAGGAGGAAGAAACAAGACAAGGAATGCATCTTCACAGATATATGGAGGCTTATAGAGGAAGGAGAGGAAGATGGTGAAACAGAAGATGAACCAGTGCAGGCAGGGATGAATTACACAAAGAGGAACTGAACACAACCTATACAACACTACACTGGACGAAGAAGTGAAGAAGAGTGGGCACGATAGCAAAAGACACTTCTACGACACACTTGGAAGTGAGGAAGAACAGGCTGCTGGTAGGAGAGACAGAGACCTGACAAAATTATATCAAATAACCAGGTTACTATCTGGGAAGAGATCAACGCAGACGAAACCAATGAGAGGTAGTGAAGGAAAGCTAGCGTTCATTAACCTGAAACTAGTGTGGAGATCTTCTGCACTCAGCATGTGGAAAGGCATTTCCAATAAACTACAGACATTTATCAACAACTGCCGCCTACTCCGGCTGGCCCCACAATGAACCAACGAAGCAAGAACCTATCGCTCAACAAATATGCACGGCAAAGAAGTGGTGATGGATTAGGCATACACTGTTAATTCACGACAGAGCACAACTACCAACCAAGGTTACCATTTGACATCTGCTTCACTTCCTACTTAACTGACCCCGATGGTGATGACTCCTCATTAGAATTTCAAGAAAACTATCTTGTAGGGTGTCACTAATAAGCAGTGAACAAAACAGCTCGTCAATGCTTCCAGGTTCCAATGGTTTCCCAACTAATTTCAGTCTGTGATGAATACTACCTTGAAATCTATAAAGAAAAATCGATATGAATAAAACAAGGAGTTAAACACAGAAATATCCCCCTTAGTCAATAGTTACTGAAAATTTATCAAGAATGTACTTGCTGAAGTGTAAAAGTTATTGTTATATCAGCTGAAAAGTTGAAAGTCAGAATCTCAGATAAGTGTCATTGGCTGTATGTTTGTTTATTATAAAAGTCGTTTTACTTATGACCTAATTGATAATAAGAATGTGTAGCTCGAATCAAGAGCTTGTGATTGACGCCCCCACTTGTTTATGTACGGCCTATATAATCTGCATGTTGAGTCAAATCCATTAATGTATATTATCCCATATTTTGTGTTTAAAATCATTTTATAAACTATGGTGGATCGCGGTCACGTGATTTAGTTATGTAGGCATATGAATAAGTTCGTCTGAGATATGCAAACAACACGTACCAGCCTTTGTGAGCTGTTATAAACGCTTGGGGGGGTGTAATGGCGTGACTCATCGTGTGTGTGAATTGAATAGACAAAAAAGGGCAGGTATATATATTGGCGACCAATCACGTTGAAGGTCAACGTTAATACTGAAGAGACGAACCATGTGCTTATCCGATTGCAACCAGTCAAGGTCATAGTGAGTTATCGATTGAGCTAACACATGAATATCACAGTTATGACGTATTTTCACAACTCCAATGTTATTCCCACTTATATATGACAGTTTGCACCACTGAATTATACACACACACACACACACACACACATCTCAAGTGTTTGCAGAAATCTTTATTTGGCAGTAGACCTAACACACTAGGTTTGATGAAATTGTCTGTAACATCGATTATCTGTTTTCGAATTAAGCTACGAAGAACGTCTGGATAAAAGGATAACGGCGATGGTAACTGCAATCGCAGCTATAGGAGTCTTTCCATAAATAAATAGGCAAGCCAATACACATATGATAGTCTGTTACAGTTTTGTTTAAACATGAGAGTGTTTCCCTCTGAGTTTTGCACAAGAAATCTCAAACATAACTACTTACTGACAAAATACACTGCACATGATACATATCAATAAATTTTGAGATAGTACTCATTGCGGAATGATATCAGTTGGGAAGCCATCGAAAACCTGGGAGCACTAGATAGCCAGCTGTTTTGTCCTAGTATGAAACTCCTCAGCAGCATGCATCCACGACCCCACCTGACATGGACCGAACGTGTCAACCATTCAGTCACTGGATGGGAGTTCAATTGTTCACAGTTTGCAACTTCCGCCCATTCGTGATATAGCGTGACTACCACTCAAGGTCTTCAACTGGGGTCCACTTCCCTTCCAACCAGTTGACCCAACGGGACATGGCTTCTCATTAGAACTTTGCAATATCCATTTGGAAGCATATCACTAATGAGCACTATATCGATAAATGTTTTAACCAATTTATTGTATTAGCCAAATATACTACTTAACCAACTGAGTAGTTAGAGATCATTAATAAAACTCGAAACCTCGCCTGGATAACTAGTTCACTAGTTACTAGCCAGTCCTAAACCACGATAAAGAGGGAAGGTTGGGCATAGGGCTACCAACCCTACCCCCAGAAAACCAATCTAACCACTGAAGAAACTTTAAAGCACAAAGAAAATATAAACAATGAAAACAATATTGTTCCTCGCTGGAATCGCAGAGACGAAATGACACCAGTTGGTGAAAGCCTTTGGGAAGCCAGTCGGCCGATGTTGTCTTCTCTCTCTAGATGAAAGCAAAAGTCAGAATGGACACATGGAATGTCCGCACCATGTATGCACCTAGCAAGGCTGCCCAGATTGCAAACGAGATGAGAAGGTATCGCATTGGAGTGTTAGGAATTTGCGAAAGTAGATGGAATGGAAGTGGAGTCTCCAAATTGTCAACTCGAGAATCAATAATCTACTCCGATATTGTCATCAAGACGACAACCACGAGCACATTGAGTTTTGGAGTGGCTATCATGATGTCCCCAACAGCATCGAAGGCTCTCTTTAATGCAGTGGGAACCAATCTCCTCCAGGATCAGGAACATGACAGTAAGGCTCAACTCAAAAGGAAGGAAAATCACAATCATACAATGCTACACCATGCATCTACAAATAATGAGTATGAAGAGAAGAAGGAGGAATTCTACAGACAACTGCAGTCAGTAATCGACAAGACCCCACCCGAGTTGGCGACATCAAAATTCTAATGGGTGGCATGAATACCAAACTGGAAGTAGACAACACAGGAAGAGAACCAATCATTGGTCGAGAGGCACTCGGTGAAATGATGAATGAGAATGGGGAAATGTTTGCAGACTTCTACGCATTTAGTGATTTGGTGATTGGGAGCAGTGCGTACAAACACAAAGCGACATGGACTCGATTTCACCAGATGGGTACACTAAAAATCAGATCGACTTTATCTCAGTGTGAAGAAAGTGGAGACGCAGCCTACTTGACACAAGGTCAAGAAGGGGAGCAGATGTAGGTTCACACCACTCACTATCTAGTGCAAGGAACCTTCGAAACCGAGTTGAAAGTCTTCACAGAAGTTGGTGATAGACCACAGTTCAAGTTCAACACCCAGGACAGAAACTGAAGGAAGAAAGTACAACGAACATCTTTACGTCAGTCATCAGGAAAGAGTGGAAGACACTAAGCAACATCGCCGAGGAAAACTACGTGGAAGAACACTGGAACTCATTGAAAGAGACGTGGAGGGAAACCTGCATAACTGTGCTAGGAAGGAGGAAGAAACAAGACAAGGAATGCATCTTCACAGATATATGGAGGCTTATAGAGGAAGGAGAGGAAGATGGTGAAACAGAAGATGAACCAGTGCAGGCAGGGATGAATTACACAAAGAGGAACTGAACACAACCTATACAACACTACACTGGACGAAGAAGTGAAGAAGAGTGGGCACGATAGCAAAAGACACTTCTACGACACACTTGGAAGTGAGGAAGAACAGGCTGCTGGTAGGAGAGACAGAGACCTGACAAAATTATATCAAATAACCAGGTTACTATCTGGGAAGAGATCAACGCAGACGAAACCAATGAGAGGTAGTGAAGGAAAGCTAGCGTTCATTAACCTGAAACTAGTGTGGAGATCTTCTGCACTCAGCATGTGGAAAGGCATTTCCAATAAACTACAGACATTTATCAACAACTGCCGCCTACTCCGGCTGGCCCCACAATGAACCAACGAAGCAAGAACCTATCGCTCAACAAATATGCACGGCAAAGAAGTGGTGATGGATTAGGCATACACTGTTAATTCACGACAGAGCACAACTACCAACCAAGGTTACCATTTGACATCTGCTTCACTTCCTACTTAACTGACCCCGATGGTGATGACTCCTCATTAGAATTTCAAGAAAACTATCTTGTAGGGTGTCACTAATAAGCAGTGAACAAAACAGCTCGTCAATGCTTCCAGGTTCCAATGGTTTCCCAACTAATTTCAGTCTGTGATGAATACTACCTTGAAATCTATAAAGAAAAATCGATATGAATAAAACAAGGAGTTAAACACAGAAATATCCCCCTTAGTCAATAGTTACTGAAAATTTATCAAGAATGTACTTGCTGAAGTGTAAAAGTTATTGTTATATCAGCTGAAAAGTTGAAAGTCAGAATCTCAGATAAGTGTCATTGGCTGTATGTTTGTTTATTATAAAAGTCGTTTTACTTATGACCTAATTGATAATAAGAATGTGTAGCTCGAATCAAGAGCTTGTGATTGACGCCCCCACTTGTTTATGTACGGCCTATATAATCTGCATGTTGAGTCAAATCCATTAATGTATATTATCCCATATTTTGTGTTTAAAATCATTTTATAAACTATGGTGGATCGCGGTCACGTGATTTAGTTATGTAGGCATATGAATAAGTTCGTCTGAGATATGCAAACAACACGTACCAGCCTTTGTGAGCTGTTATAAACGCTTGGGGGGGTGTAATGGCGTGACTCATCGTGTGTGTGAATTGAATAGACAAAAAAGGGCAGGTATATATATTGGCGACCAATCACGTTGAAGGTCAACGTTAATACTGAAGAGACGAACCATGTGCTTATCCGATTGCAACCAGTCAAGGTCATAGTGAGTTATCGATTGAGCTAACACATGAATATCACAGTTATGACGTATTTTCACAACTCCAATGTTATTCCCACTTATATATGACAGTTTGCACCACTGAATTATACACACACACACACACACACACACACACACACATCTCAAGTGTTTGCAGAAATCTTTATTTGGCAGTAGACCTAACACACTAGGTTTGATGAAATTGTCTGTAACATCGATTATCTGTTTTCGAATTAAGCTACGAAGAACGTCTGGATAAAAGGATAACGGCGATGGTAACTGCAATCGCAGCTATAGGAGTCTTTCCATAAATAAATAGGCAAGCCAATACACATAGGATAGTCTGTTACAGTTTTGTTTAAACATGAGAGTGTTTCCCTCTGAGTTTTACACAAGAAATCTCAAACATAACTACTTACTGACAAAATACACTGCACATGATACATATCAATAAATTTTGAGATAGTACTCATTGCGGAATGATATCAGTTGGGAAGCCATCGAAAACCTGGGAGCACTAGATAGCCAGCTGTTTTGTCCTAGTATGAAACTCCTCAGCAGCATGCATCCACGACCCCACCTGACATGGACCGAACGTGTCAACCATTCAGTCACTGGATGGGAGTTCAATTGTTCACAGTTTGCAACTTCCGCCCATTCGTGATATAGCGTGACTACCACTCAAGGTCTTCAACTGGGGTCCACTTCCCTTCCAACCAGTTGACCCAACGGGACATGGCTTCTCATTAGAACTTTGCAATATCCATTTGGAAGCATATCACTAATGAGCACTATATCGATAAATGTTTTAACCAATTTATTGTATTAGCCAAATATACTACTTAACCAACTGAGTAGTTAGAGATCATTAATAAAACTCGAAACCTCGCCTGGATAACTAGTTCACTAGTTACTAGCCAGTCCTAAACCACGATAAAGAGGGAAGGTTGGGCATAGGGCTACCAACCCTACCCCCAGAAAACCAATCTAACCACTGAAGAAACTTTAAAGCACAAAGAAAATATAAACAATGAAA